ACAATACGATATATATATATATATATATATATATATATAAAGTATCAAAAGAAGTTAATTAGTCAGTTACAATCCTCCTTATTCAGAAAAGACAAATTTTATCCGATATCAGCAGTTTTAGATTGCTGTAGTCCATAATCCTTAGTCAATTGCACTGTGGTATTTTTATGACCATTTTGGAAAATAATCTTTTCCAAATTCAATGCTGGTAATTCAGCAAGTAGTGCACAAATAATACCAAAAACATAGGATAGTGTAACTTGTACTACGCAATGCCCAAAAATTGGCCATTTTGTTGTATAAGCAATGGGAAATGGTACCAATAGATATGTGAATACTACTAATACCATATGCACCAAATATACCTAAAATATGTGAATGCTAAAATAGATAAGGATAAGTATTTGAAGGGTTAATAACTTAGTAGTCTTAATAATCTCACTTAGTAATCTATTAATAATCAGTAATTCCTACTACAGCCTTTAATTTGTATAATAATAGCGAAAGTAATCTTATAGCTACAATGAGTGGTGTCAAAAATATTTTCTCGACCACAGTTAAAAAATATAATAAAATGAAAGATTGCCGATGAATTGCAATAATTACCGAATAGCAAAGCGATGATAATGGTATGAATAATTTCATGCTAAGTACTCTATTAATAATTCCACCACTGCCAGTGTGACAAGCATAAATAAGCCAAACCATAGCTAAGGCAAACATTGTCCGATGGAAACCACCGTAAAAAAGATGATACATACGCCAATCCCAACCCTGAAAAGAAATGAAGTTTGGTGAATTCTTCTGGAAATAAAATGTCAAATAAATATGTCAATCAATGGCAAGCTGATAGGTATTTTTTTTTCTTCAGTCATTTCAACTATAGTCACATTTTTTACTGATACCATAAGAGCATAGTATCGTGACTGAATGAATGATATCCTATCTCCGTGAAAATTCAAAAATATTCGGTGCAATATTTTAATCTCAACATAAATGGTTAATTTCTAGATTGAAGTTGCAAAATTGACAGGATTTACCTGTAAAGCTGGATACAAACCAAAAATAGCCCAAAAGCAAGCAATGAATGCAAAAATCCAACCAAATGCTTGTAATCTCATAAATCTTTGGGGCGTTTGTTTTGCACCATTTTGAACAATTACTAAATAATATCCCAACAATAAGCCAACAATATATGGTCCTATCCGATATTGTGGCTTTATATACATCATTACATGGTGCTGTAAGGAGGAAATTCAGTTAAATTCCTTTTGAATTTTAGTTTTAGCAGTTGGCTATTGTCCATATTCCTTTTTTGACGAATCCCTCCGAAGTAAAAGTTAACCATTAAATTGGGAATTTGAATTAATTACGAAAATTCTACCTTTAGTATCTAACTGAGATTACGAAGTTGGAAGTTTTATAGTTAAAGAGTTTTATAGTTAAAGATTACCTTAATAAAATCAGTGCTAAAAATTCTCGGTTGTTTCCAAAGCAATTGCGTTGGCGGAAAATTCCAGCGTATCATGCCAAACATATTTAGAAAACTAGATGATATTATGGTTAGTACTGAGACAGCAAACCCAATTCGTGGTACTTTATGCAACAATAATAAGAAGATCGGTGATAAGAGGTAGTAGATGAATTCGGTACCAATGTACCTGAAATTAATTTTAATTTATATCAAATAAATGCGCTTGTTAAAGAAAGTCCGCCTGATTTTACTTATGGTATTTTTTAGTAAAATAATAATAATAATAATAATAAATGTGCAGTAATAAATTTAGGATATTCATTGGTTACTCATTTCAGTGATTCTGTTAATCTACTGCTTCTATAACTTTTTGAAGTAAAACTACAGCATCTTTATTCCTTCTCTGATTCTTCTCCCAAATCATGGAATAACATAAATTGTTCCTTTGGTTTTAAAGAATTGAATAAAAGTGATGAAATTTATATAACTGACCATGTCCACGGCATGCAGCGATTTTCAAACAAACTGTTGACAAAAAGGACATTTTCCCACCAATGCTTGGGACACTGAACAGCAGGATCAGTGGGAGGCCACATCGGATGGAAATGCTGAATTGATGCGCGCATTCCAACATCCACCAGCACATAAATATAAGCTGGCCATAAACGAATGATCCGATGACGGTAGTAACGTAACCAATAACCGTATGATGTCCACGTTGGCACCGTTCCTGAACAAAAAAAAAAATCTATTTTTCATTATCCTCTCCAGAAAAAGGAGCGAACATTAAAACTATCAAAAAATATTACTGCCATTAGCATCATTATTACTACTACTTATTATTATTGTTTTTATTACTATTATGGTCGTTATTATCACTATTACTAATTAATTATTAATGTTATAAAAATTAAATGATTCGAAGCAAATTTAGACGCTATCGCTTGGAATAATTTTAGGGGAAAATGTCATTAAATCTCATTATCTCAGAAATATTTCTAAATCCGCCTTTTTGACAGCAGATCTCAGTATTTTCCATCAATAAAATTTCTAGAATTTGAGTTGGACGATAATATACCTGATAAATTCCCGTGAAATTTTTTAAACCAAGTAAAAGCAGTCAATGTAGCACTGAGTACCAAAAAAGTATCAACACCGAGTGTAAAATTTGTAATCCACTGATTGTAGAAATGATCGACCATATCATCCTTGTATTCTTCGACATTATCCAAATAAGCCTATAGATCAAATTCAGATCAGAATTCAAAATTCAGAAGCCCACAAACTTATAGATATTCATCTATTGGGTTTATTCTAGGCTAGTTATTTCTTTTTAAATTAATGTTTGATTTGAAAATTGGTTACCTGTACAAAAAGGAATGAATGACCGATAACGGTCCAAACCATCGACAGGAAACGCATACCGAACATACAAGTGATCGTTGATTGCGAATCTTTTGGCATTCGGATCAATTTCAATAAATTCTTTTTTGCGGAAAATGCCAACAAAATTTCTGCCCATTTGTTTCTGACATCAAATGTAATTTAAGCTATTGCACTTGACAAAACAATTTGAAATTGGATTCGAGAATAAAATGAATTTTTAGCGCATCCAAACAATTAGTCGAGATTAGTGTAACACATACTTGCTCTGCTTTCCCTTTTTGATATGATAAACAGTGGCAACAACAACAAGTAACATGAAGTTTTGGTGCAAAATAAATTCCGTAATAGCTGCTGGTTTCTGATACCATTGTTTGTCATGACGTGATTTAGTACATGACGTATAATCGATCGCTATAGTATCAGTAGATATCATTGATCGCCATTCATCCAATAACTGTACATGATGAAAAGTTAATGTTTTGGCACTAATTTGTAGTAAAAATTGAAGAAATTGATATTTGATCTTTGATTTATATATATATATATATATATATATATATATATATATATATATATATATATATATATATATATATATATATATATATATATATATAATATATATATATATATATATATATATATATATATAT